AGCCCGGGGCTCCTCTCCTTTGCGAGCCGCCTATGCTTAGGGGATGCGGTGAGTGCACGCCATCACCGACCAGTGTCACCCAGCAAAGAGCAACTGCTGCCTGTGCGCGGCAGGCAGGACTCCCCAGATTTCCGCACCGTTCTAGCTGATTAGCATTAAGTTTCATTTGAAACAAGCAGGTGAATGAAGAGAAGGGAATTATTAATCCGGAGAATTCATTCCACTTTCCACAAAGCAGAGGTGAACACGGTTCATCCCACTCAGCCGGCCGAGCGAGGGGCCGCGGAGGCGGTGGGGCCAGCAGGAGCACGCGGCCTTCCAACGCTGCTTTTCCCCCAGCTGACATCATTTTAAGGCGCTTCACATTTTGCCGGTGCCCTACACAAGCTCTTCAGGGGGTCCAACAAGTTTAACTCAATAGTTCCCTGGGGAGCTGGCATTTCTCTAGCTCCGTCCTGAGGCTTTCGCCTCGCTCAGCAGTCCCAGCCTCACGGCGTGATTTCATTTCCATGGGTGTGATTTCATTTTCAACATCATCTTTAGCCGCTTCCCGTTGAGGAGGGGCTCCCCGGCCCCGGGGGCTGGTGGGACCATTATCCAGAGCTGCAGCGGTACACCGAGACCGCAGCTCGGCTGCTCCTTCTCCTCCCAGTGCTTACCCAAACCCCAGCTGCAGCCCCGCAGGAGCCCGCGCATCCGCCGGGGAACCCTGCACGGGACCGGCGGCCGGCCAGGGGTGCACGTGGTCCCCGACATGCTTCCACGTCCCTTCTGACACGCGTGATGGGGCGGCCAAGCGGCTGCCACCCTCTGAGCACCGCGCACGGTGGGGTCACGCTCAGAGCCAGGGGACGGGCAGGACACCTCTCCTGCGCGCTGTCCCCTCGGTATTCGTCACCATTCGTCCCATTAAACTACGTCGCCTCTGGAGCCCGCAGAGGTTGGCGAGCCCGCTCTCCTGAGAGCCTAATGAGAACGTGATACACCTGTCTGTAATTTTTCCCCATTCTAATTACACCCTTTTGTGGTGTAAGGATGACATTCGCACTGCTGCTTTTCAGCCCCGTACGCTGTGCCGGTGGCACCACGGGGTGACGTCTGTCCTTCCCAGAGGGGACATGAGGCTTTCCCTGGGGACACCCCCGGGAACGGCCCGTTCTCAGGGTGCCCGTGCTGCTCTCCGGGTGCAGACCCCGGGGGGGACCCGCTGCTCCGGCGGGCGGCATCCCACCCAGCAGGGACCCCCGCAGCGACGCTGGCCCTGGGTGCCGCCGTCGGGCGCCGCAGCCCCTCTGGGTGCTGCACAGCCGCCCCCTGCCCGACGCTGCTGATCACGGCTCCTCCTGCTCTCGTGTAATCGGGGCTCGTATTTATCTCCACACGGCTTAGTTTTCAGCTCAACCGAGTGGGGTTTTTTGGGGGGGCTCTACCTTGCTCTCCAGCTTCTCTGCGGTCTGCCTGAGCTCCCCGCACGCCTGCTCGGATTTTTCCAGCTTCCTTCTCAGCGCCGCCAGCTCCTCCTAGGGAAGATTGCAAAACAACACAGGTGGAGAGCTCCAGCACCCTCAGTTTATTTATGAAAATCTCGTTTTTCTGTTAAAAGTAAGTGGGAGAGACAGAGCTGACTTATTAATAAAATTTACTAGGCAACTTTGAAGGCTGCTGACTGCAAATTGCCGGGACTGCCGCTCCTGACGTGAATTGCATCGGAGGGAATGTCAGCTTTGGTGTACGCACAGAGCACGTTGTATGAGAAAGAAGCAAACCTCAAAAGCTTGGGATGAGCAGCCAAACGTCTGAATTTTGCTCATGGCGCGTTCCCGGGGCCCTGGCAGGCTATCACAGAGCGGGCGCAAAGGCACATTGTTTTCTCTGATTCTCTTTCAGGCAGCCCGACCGTAACCGCAGAAAGAGCTGCTCGGTGCAGCCTTGTCCTGCTTTGATGTCCAACACTGAGCAGAAGCGGAACGTGCAGAGTTGCGATAAAAACAGAGGTTAACGGGTGATGGGGCCTGATGGATCCCAGGCGGGTTTGGAAAGAGAAACAGAGCCTTGAGCAGCTTTTATTTCGTCTGAACCAGCCTGAAAACCTCTTGTTAAAACCTCACTAAGGCAAGAGGAGGAGCAGGGTGCCAAGGAAGACGGACTAAGAATTTAGCACAGACCTCGGAGGTGCAGAGGGGCAAAAGGTGCCTTTCCCGGGTCTGCAAATGCCCATTAACGTCTCCCGTCACCAGTGGCAGCTCAGGTGGGAGGCGGTACCGCTCTGGTGACAGAGTACCCTGTATCAAGGATGCGTTTGGCTGCTCATGATCCGTCATCCCACAGACTGATGTGGGGCACCCGTCCCCACGGGGCTCGGCTCAGCGGACCCAGCCCCAGCAAGCTCCTGGGGACACGGGGAGGGCAGCGGGGCAGCCACGGCCCTGGGACGGGGCTTTGGCTGTGGGGACACGGTGCATTTGCTGCTGTCCCTCTAAGGAAGGAGAGTTATTTCTCCCCCCACAGCTCTGCAAAACACGTTACTTGGGGGAAAAAATGCAGTGCTAAGAACAGATGACGACTTCTGGATGGTCAGCAAAACATCTCTGCCCTGGCAGAAGTGAATTCCAGTTTGACCTACCCACCAGGCAGAGCTCCTAAAGCACCCCATCCCATCCTGTCCTGTCCCGTCCTGTCCCATCCCATCCCATCCCATCCCATCCCATCCCATCCTGTCTGGTCCCACCCTGTCCCATCCCATCCCATCCCATCCTTTGGTGCATACTTCTTTTGCACGGAGCTGCTCCTCTGCGAGGTTAACGCTGAGCAGGGGCCGCACGCGGCTCAGCAGCTGCCACCAGGGCCAGTGCCTGACCGCCTGGAACACCACCAGGTTCTTCTGGATGCAGCGGATGGCGAGGCGCTGGATCTGTGGGGAGACACGGCCGGCAGTGCCCCGTGCCCAGTCACGACTGAGCCCACCAGGAAGGACCAGGCAGAGGCACTGGGATGGAGAGGGATGAGGTGGTGGAGGAGCTCTGCACCGCAGGGGAGGGCAGCATGGCACCTTACGGGTGCCCACGGGGCAGGGCAGAGGGGGTACCCTTCAAAGGAGCAGCCCGCTCTGCTCAAAGAGCTGTAATTTGGATGCTCTGAGCTGTATCCCAGCAGAGCCTGGGCTTTGGTTGACACAGGGTATCCGCAACCCGTGGGATGGATACCTTCAACCTCTTGAACTTCTGGCGGCTGAGGAAGCCCTTGCAAGCAGCCTGGAGCAGGATCATCTTCTGGGCTATCAGCTTGTCACGCTGCTTCTCCAGTCTCGCGATGACCCCCGGCTTCAGGAAAACCTGACAGCAAACAACGGAGGTTACACACCCCCAGGACAGGTCTGAAACCTGCCGGCAGCCAACGGGTCATGTTTCTGGCTAAGACCTGGCAGTGTCCCCCAAGACCTGCGGGAGACTGAGGGTCGTTGGACCAGCTGGGGACCAGCGAGTGGAACCACTACACCAGCTTGAAACGCCGGACTCCAGCCCTACCTAGCCAAACCCCAACATGCCCATCTGCCCCGTGCCACGAAGGCACCTGAGGCGGCTCTGGCACCAGCCTCCCTGAGGACACTCATGGGACAGCTGGAGGGAGCTGTGCCCCAGCTCTGTCCCATCCCCGAGCCCGGCAGCGGGATGGCTTCGCATCCCGGAGAGCTCCTTCCACCCGCCCCTCCATCTCCTGCTCCCAGCCATCGCCACGATGGGCCGCACGGGGCTGCCCGGGTCCCACCGACTCCCCGGGGACTACCGGGCTGCTGAGTGCCCTTCGGGAGCCGGCCCTCGCGCTGTGCGCACGCTGGCGTTTGCTCTCTGCCCCTGCCTCTTCTCACTCCTCCTTTTCCACAAAGGCATCAACCATCACAAGAAGCTGCAAGTCCTTGAAACTCTTCCCTTGGGCCACTGCCTATTTCCCACCCGCTGCCTGGACGGCAGAGGTACCCCTGCTGGAAACGGCGTTTTTGACAGCGTACACACCGATAACAGCAAAGATGCCAGCTTACAATAGGAAAAACAGAATTAACCACATCATTTTCTTTAACTGAAGTTGTCAGAAACACCTCATAAACGGTACAGATTTGCTGATGCCATCGAATTTAGCCCGGTATCGATCGCTCAGAGTGCAAGACGTCTCTCGGTCACTGCCAGGCGAAGCTCTCGGGATATGGGACCAATCACTTCTGAATATTGCGCACCATTTGCATAATACAGCTTTAATAAAAACTGAATTACACTTGTGAAGCCGGTGGCGTACTTAAAGAGCTGCGTTTTAAAGATGCCAAATTGAATAAAAGAACAATTCCAAGGAAACTCACTTTCTTGCAATAATGCTATGATTGCTCCACCACCTATTTGATTGTCTCATTAATGTCTGTATTAACTTCACAAGCCAGCGAGTTTTAGAAGCTAGTACAAAATCAATGCTCAAAGCGATGGCAAAACTAACTCCTCTATAACAAGATGTGACTGGAGCTGCTATCGCACTATTGATTAAGTACAAGGGTTTCATAGAAGAGATAATTGCAAGCCGCACTGTGCAGGATAAAAGAAAGTTATTTTGCTCCACAGAACCGTTTCATGAATTCTTTCTTTATAGACTCCGAGAGCTGAAGGCAAGCACGCATGTAAAATTAATTTTTCTTTGAGAATATCGCATTTAAGTTCAAATGTTATTGCTACAACAAGTCTTGCACCTGCAGCTGCCCAGCTCAGCGGTGTGAACCCCAGCCCGCCATAACCACGACCTGCCCGAGCCCCATCTACTCCCGGGAGACATCAAAGCTAATTAGGAACTTAAACGCCATTAGGGGTCAGATTTTGATAATTAGGTACACAGTTTACCCAGGGTAGTGCTTTCACACGTGAATTAGGAACCTCCTGCTTTGATTTTCGGTGAGGTTTGGTTTCCCAGCCCACCTGAGCGCTGCAGGGAGGTTTTCTCTCCAGTTTGGGAAGCGTTGGGCCGCCGGCAGCGCCCGGCACCGCGCTGGCTGTGCCCACGCGCACCGAGAGCAACGGGGAAGATGAGACCGGAGCCGGCGTACCTGGCTGCGTCCTATGGCAACGCTCTTCTTCTCCAGATCCAGCGCCTGGAAGAGCTCCTCTATAGCCTGTGGAGAAGGAGCACACCGCGGAGTTGCTCAGAAAACATTTACGCCCTGGGATGAGCCTGCAGAAACGGGGCGCAGAGACCCCCGCTCCTTATGGGCGCCCAGTAAGGGTGCATCCAGCTTATGGGCGCCCAGTTATGGTGCATCCAGCTGGGCTCTCGCTTCCTTTTCCCCCTGCAAAAGCGCACCCACTCAGCCCGAGAGCAGCCTCCGAAACGGCTGCCCCAGCC